AGCGTAAAAATTAAAATTTGAGATTATTTATAGAGATTACATGTTATCTCTCTTTAGAAACTATAAGAATTTATTTATAGTCGGTTACGTCGGACCATTATTGATGGAAGATCCCTTAAAGTTGAGATTATTCTGAAATAATCCATAGTTGAGATTATTATGAACGGATCACCAATAGTCGAAATTATTATGATCAATTTTTTCCTATTTTATAAACGATTGCTTGATTTCATATTCTAATTAAACTATAGCGCGGCCAATGAACAATGTCTATTTTTATTGCGTACTTTTCAATGATGATTCTATTCGGCGGCTTCTGCCCAAATACGTAGTACGGACTACGGAGTATGATTCTTTGTGATTTTGTTGGAGTGTTGTGTAATTTATACATTTATACATAATAATTATATACTCAATAAATCTTAATAAGCATTCCTATCACTCTATCACGGGTGAAGATAGGGGGAGGTTGATGATGACTTGGATCATATGTATAAATATTTATTAGTAACAAATATAGTGAAAATAATCAAATATAAGTTTTGGTCCTCGCTATATAAATTCCTTAAATTTCGACCCCGTAACCTGTCATTTCTGGCTCTCTCACTGATTCATATACGAGTATAAACCAAATGATATGTAGTTTGTTGTAGCTTGGATTGCACGCCCTAATCTAATTGTCTCTGCACAAATAATTGATTTTAATTTTAATAAAGAGAAGCGTCTCTGATCAAATAATCTAAAAATGAATTGTCTAATTGTCCATGTACAAATAATTTAGAGTCAGAGAAACCTCCCTTTACCAAAATTAGAATAAATTGTCTGATAACTATACATAATCGTGTAACACAGGTATAATTCTAGTGTACAAATAACACGGTTCACCAACGCCTAGTAATCCAAAATGAGGACGAGTTTTAAAATTTGGAACGAGTTAAGTCCGTTCGTATGTAATTATCATTGAAATGTACGGAGTATTATTAGGATCGATTAGGAAGCAATGATTGAGATAGACTAGCTCACAGACCGGATGTGTAATTTATGATTTTTTTATTCAATTACTTGAATACAATATGGCTGTCCTGATTCTTAAATTGTCACATATAATATACGGAGTAATATACAGCTTCAACAACATTATTAGTGTATAAACGTACAGTGCATAATACCAATATTAATTGTATCAATATTAATGACTACCTATTCAAGCTTTTTGTTAAATGTTGTGCACTAGTAAAGTAATAACAATAATAATTTAATTATATGTGGAACACTATCCATTTATATCTATATATTAAAATATTGACAACATTTTCTCTTTGAGATAAGGGTTCCTATTAAAATATATTTCTTTTTCTAATTTTTCTATCTCCTATTTCACTCATTTTTATGTCCCATGCATTTTACCGAGTACATGATATCAAAACTATTCACTGCATCTCTTATTTCTCCTTTAACTTTATTTATCCTTTAACTTTTGTGCATAAAAGTAAGTAAGTGATGTGAAAAAACACTCTATACTTGTAAATCTAATATAAGTATCCGAACTTTGTATAAAATATTATCTTACCGTCATGAGAATATATTTTTCTTTTTCAAGAATGTAAATTTATAGTGTTAAGTAAATAATTCAAAATACTTTAAGCATTTTTTAGTGTGCAATTAACATTATAAACTTATTTGTTAGCGTTATTTATTTAAAATATTGAAGCTTAGATAATAATAATTTCTTCCTTATAAATGCTCAAAGTATTTTAAATTTATATTTTAACACTATAAATTTACATTTGTGAAATAAAATTAAATATAATATGATGGTGTTAAAACAAAGTTTATATAAACTTTGAGGTACTTTTATTACATGTACAAATTTGGGATGTTTACCTCACACTACTTTAAATTTACGGTATTTAAACTTCCCTCAAAACTAATGTTTGAAACATATGAATTAATAGCAAAGCTGCTTTAATTTATTTTATCTGATCCAGGATTTATTGAAATCAATTAGAAGACAATTGCCCCAAACCGTGATTCCCTTGTAATGATTTTGCCATCTTAACTTACTTTTATAATGTGTGTGCGAGAGATAATACTTCCTACGTCCGGTTAAGATTGTCTCATTTTTCTCTTTTTATTCGTCCCACTAAGATTGTCTTATACGAAAATCACACTTTTGGTTCCTCAATTAATCATCATATTAAAATGTCAGATCCTTATTTCTGAGATTGTAAATGTCACCCCGAATTGACAGATGTGTTTTAAATATCATCCCTGGTGAATTTATTGGTAGTCCATAATAAGAGATGAATTATAAACGGTGAGATGACATTTACAACACATTTGTGAATTCAAAGGTGACATTTACAATCTCAGAAATATGAGTCTGACGTTTTGATCAATATGGTGAATGATTAAGTGACCAAATGTATGATTTTCCCGTGATAAAATTTGTGTTATTTAAATTATTTTACTTTATTTTTCAATATCAATCACATACATTTATTTTTCATAATAATCGTGTCACATTCTCATATTACAAAGTTAATAGAATGGAGTTAACATTACTGTGTTGCCTAAGTGAGCAGTTATCTTAAAAAATTCATTTGACTGCCTTCCCGATTGAATTGTTAGCTGAAATTTGGTATGAGTAAACTAGACTTAATGAAGAACATAATAAAAAAAATTCATCAAAAAATTCCACCGGAAACCGTCCCAAATGTCGACGGCCGGACAGAATCTCCTGTAAAAGGGCTTATTTGCACTTTTTATGAAACTTCAAGGCTTATTTCATAGTTCTCTCTAATAACAAATATATACCGAGTATATAATAATGGGCCAATCTTTTGTCCTACACGTTAGACATACTGCATTTTTGCATGTTTATAAACTTGTTAGAGAAATAATTCCGGCCTTGAAAATATTAAAATAACAAACGTACACGTAAAGCCAAGGTACGTAGTTGCGCGTGGTTTTGGTGAAGTAGTTGTAGTGCGGTGGTGCCGTGGCCCGTGGTGGTGGTGGTTTGGCCGTCACGGGGTGGTTTGGCTGATATGGACGGCGCTACTTAAAATGGCATTAGACACAAAATATATATGAGATCGATCTCATAGATCGAATTTTAGTTTTAAGAAATGTTATTACCTTCCTCCCAATTTAATAGTTTTGTTTTTTATTACCTTCCTCCCAATTTAATAGTTTAGTTTTTTTTATTTTTGGTTAACATAAATCACTCTTCCTATTCAACTTTTACCAAATTTTAATTTTGTTTTGCGATTTTGTAAACTTTTTAATATAATTTCTGATTATGTAAATTTTATTTGTAATTTCAATTTGAGATAATTTTTTCATCGGTTAAACATAGTAAATGAGACTATCAAATTGGGTCGGAGGAGTATAACTTTTAAAATAAATCCAGACTATATTTGACTTTTGAGTGTCACTAATTTACTATGGCTATGTTTGGCAAGCATCTGAGAAAAGTCCATGACTTTTAGCATTCATTAGTACCAATAGCTTGTATATCAAACAGAATAAATCAAATAGTCAATTTTTTACCAAATTGTTACCACATTTTCCTTTTAAGACTTTTTCCGTCGCTAAAAACTAAAAGTTAATGAAAAAATTAACTTTTCAGCTCTCGTGTCAAATTGATTGTCATTATCTCAAAGACGCTGCTTGTAAAGTTGTAAAGGCTCCGTAAACTAAACCGAATCCCAATTTCTTTAATGATTCCATGAATTAAAATTGATTAGTGTCTTGTGTTTTTTAGAGAAATGCTATACAGATAGTCAGATATAGTATGAATCCTCAAATCCTCAAAAAGATAAAGGGAGACAAAGTTGTTCTCTTCGAGTTTATTTAAAGAAAAATGAAAAAAAAATTATGGAGCGCTTGCCATTGTTTTTTACTTTGTGATTTTTTAAATTTATTTTGGACAAAATGTTTAATACGTAGTAAAAATTGACATTGTTTGAGAAAAACTATTTGGAAAAAGTAATACGAAGTACTCCCTCCGTTCTTTATTAACTGTCTCACATCCTTTTTGGGACGTTTTTTACTCCGTATTATTTTTCTCTCTTTCTATTTTAGGAAAGCTTTTGATAAAATACTTCCACTTTTATTACTTTTACCCCTCTTACTTTTTACAAACTACTTTCTCTTTTTTACTTTATCCTAACTTTACTCTACTTAATATACTCTCTTTCCTACTTTATCACCACTTTATATACTCTCTTTCCTACTTTATCATTTACCCTACACACTCTACATTTACCCTACCATTTTTCTATTAAAACGTGTGCTCAAGACTAGCGGGACAGATAATAAAGAAGGGAGGGAGTAGTTTGCCGTGTTTGATAAAAAAAATGTTATTTCTGTAATAGCAAAAGTAAAATACTGTTAAAATACTGTTAAAAGTAGCTTTTAAATGCTTGTTTTAGGCGGAAACATTCACATCAAAAACAACTTTTTTCAAGTCGAAAGCAGAAAAACACTATTATTTCCCCTATTCTACATACTCTTTACTCTTTAGATTTTGAGTTTCTCTCGTACATATCCTGCTTGGCCAATTTTTTTGAGATAGAAAAGACTAGTACTGAGGTTCTTAAATTTTTGCACATATCTTTAGAGAGTATAAGAGAAGTAAATAAATAAACTAAAAGACGTGCAAAAATATACGTAGTAAAAAGTAACTGTATTAGGATAATCTTAAGAGTTAAGACAGTGCTTTCCAACATTTTAAACTGAAGCATTTTAGTACGGAGTATTTTCCAAAATATATTTCTCCTCTAATTTCTTTCCATAGCATCTTACTTATTCCGATTTCCGAAGTTGCAAGAACTCTCTGAAAGACTGAAACGAAGGACGCATAAAATACTACGAAATGTTGAAATTGAGAATGACTCGGCTTCTTAGAGAGTAGTTAGAGAGAGAAAACTTGTTCTGAACATGAGCAAAAAACGAAGAAATCAGAAAAACGATTGATTTAGTGAAATTCTTACCAATTTGCTGATCAGAAATCAGGACAGAATCGTGGACGACGATGAGAGTCTTGGAGGCGACGACGACGGAAACCTCCTTGACTCCTTCGAGCGGTTTGAGGATCTTCTCAATCAGCGGAACCTCGGAGGAGCAGCAAATCCCCAGCACATCGAAGTAAGTTTTGGTCAGATCAGGTTTCGTGGCGGTGTTTCCTGCAGCCATTTTCTGGTGATTGATTTGGCTTATATAGATTACAGTAGTAATAATTAGTGATAGATGGCGGAGAAGAGAAGCTTTGGTTTGCTGCCTGTCTGTATTGATAAGGTAGTTAAAAGGTGGGTATAAGCAGAGAGAGCTGCAAGAAGAATTTTTTTTTAATGGGCAGAGCCTAATTTTGAACACAGATATATACACGAGAAAATTGGACCATGATACCTGCACGGGTAGCTCAGTTGATCGAGTAGTGAGAAAATTAGATAAAGTGATCAAAGTTCGAAATCCGCGTGAAGGTTACAGAACCTGAAATAAGGTTGTATCTATGATGCGCACGTGTATAAGGCTTACCGCCGCTTTGCTGACTGATTCATCATGATTAACCTCTCTATCATCCTTTCGGGTGGACGACCGGGAGATTCCACCTATGGAACCAAGGAAATTGGACTGTGATACCAGAGCGCCACAATACTCTTTGTTGTCCGCCTTCATTCTCTCTCATTTAACTTTCCATTATTGTCACAAAAATTACGCCCTCTTTGGTTTCCACTAACTTTTTTTAAATCTAGTTTAATCCAAATTAAAAGTTCTAGACGCTTAAAATATGAACAGATAGTTCAATTTTAAAAGGTCAACATAATAGAAAAAGTAACTCAAAAATTTAATATTATGTTTAATTAATTGTTTTAAATATATATGGTGTGAGATAATGACACATGCTTTTATATCTTTGACTTGAAAAATAAAAATGAATATATTCGAGTGACAATTCTTACTTAAATTAAACACTTAGAAATTTAAAATATAGAATTTTTGCCACTTTTAGTCCTCTGACTATTATGTCACTGATACTTTTAGTACTCGACTTTGAGTTGTTCCACTTTTAGTTCTTCGACTATAGTGCGACAGACACTTTCGGTACTCACCTTTGAAAATTCCCACATTTAGCCATTCGACTTTCATAAAAGTGACACTTTTGATCCTTCAACTATTATAGTAGTGACATTTTTAGTCCTTCACTTATTGTGTCAACTATATAATGAAAGGACTAAATGTGTCAATTTTATAATACTTAGGGGATTGAATGTGGAAAATATCGAAGTCGAGGACTAAAAGTGTCTCTCGCACAATAATTGAGAACTAAAAATGGAAAAATTGAAAGTTGAGTATCAAAAGTGTCACTGGCCCAATAGTCGAAGGACTGAAAATGGAAAAAACTCTTTTTTTGTAGTAATATTTATTTATTTTATTTTTTATTTTTTCTATTTTTTATTTTTAATTCATTATAATTTTGACATTTTTTAACAATTTAGGGAGTGATTTGATCGATTGTGAGGGGTTCATGGGCTTATTTGAGCTTTTAGTTTCAACTTCAGATGCATAAGTGGCAATCAAATTGGTGACATGGCGGGTGACCGGTTGGTTACCTATAAAAAATGAAATTTGAACCATTTTTTTCCAGTTCAATGTACGAATTGGATCCTTTTGATTCGGAGAATGAATTGAGCGGGTGACCGGTTGATTATCTATAAAAATGAAATTTGAATCATTTTTTGCCAGTTCGAGGTGCGAATTGGATCCTTTTAATTCGGGGACTGAATTGAGCTTTTACGACCGATGAGCCTATTTGACTCTTAGCCAAAATAAAGTGTCATTTTCAAAATTAATTGACCGTTCAATACATTTCAGCAAACCTCATGTTACAACTCGAATTAACTCGTCAAATTTAAGTTAATAAGCCCAACTTGAGAGAACCATTATATCTTGTTCGAATAATAGGCAGTCATCGAAAATCAAGTATCACTACACTGTTGAGTAAAAGTTCAGCCAAATGATCCATCTTTATAGCCCGTTTGGTAGCACGAAAATCGGCTGATTTGGTTGATTCTGCTGAAATTTATGAAGTTCTGACTTAAGTGGCTGCATTGGCTGATTCTGGTGATTTAAGAAAAAAATATTTTTATAATACTTTTTATTTATAAAGTAAAGAAAATATTATATGTAAAAATAGCTAAAATGGTCATCTATAGTAACTTCAGCCAATACAGCCAGAAAAGTAACTTCAACCTTACTTTTTGTGCTTATTACACAATTCAGCGCGCGAAAACAAAAGTTACGTGTTTGGTGAAAATGTTGGTTGATAAGCCTGATAAGCCGAAAAACAGTGCTACCAAACGGCCTCTTAAACATTCCATTCATGAGAATCTTTGAGGTAAGTGAAATGGCATTTGGTCGGAAAATAAGATTAGAATAGGAACAGGAATAAGAATTTGAATCAAATTTTATTTGTCACAAAATTATTTTCATGCGTTTCTCTTCAACATAAACCTTATGAAAAAATTATTGTGATTACTACTTACTCATGTTTTGTAAAGTAATTTTCCGTATAATATTATCATTGATGAGTTAATTTTAACATTAGTTGATTATTATAAACTGTAATGACTATCTTGGTTGAGTTTAGTCAATTGTACGTCATTTAGAAGAGTTTACCTCCTAATCCTTTACATCCTACTATAACAAGACGAGGGGGTTTAAGGTACTCTCTGCACCTCCAATTGGGGATTCTTAGCGCCATTAAGATGGGTCGAAACCCGCGGGCTGACCCGTTTCAACCTATTTATTGATGGGTTAGGATTGTCATTTTGTGGCCTGATTATTTCACAAGTTTCGTAGGTAAACCCATTCGGATTGTGGGTTAAGTGGGTTGGCCCGCACGAGTTGCAGGTTGGCCCATGGGCCGAAATGTGAACGTATAATTCTGACTATAATTATCTTCAATATTATTCTTTCACTACCAAATTATTATAGTTACAATTATATATTTATCATTTTAGAATCACTGTAAAATAATTATTATTCCTGTAATAACTATCCAAACAAATTGTTCAAACATTCGGAGTATATTTTAAGTAAAATTGAATATAATCTTTAGCAATTAATAGTCATTATATATAAATCGTCACTCAAAAGATTTAAGCATATATTTACTTCTATAAAATGGGTATTTTTAAATTTTTTTACTAATCTTAACAAGTATTAGGTGCTTAGCATTTTCCAATATAAGTATATGCTCCTTTCAAAACAAAGATAATTATATACTATTCCCGATACAACTATAAACTATTTGGTAATTATTTTTAAAGAATTTTGTCATATATATTTAAATACATTGACCCACAGACTGACCCGAATTTTGGCCCGTCATTAAACGGGCTGACCCGATTCAACTCACGTAAAACATAACCCGTTATGGGTCGGGCCGAGTTGAATCGGATTGACCCATTTGACAGCTCTAGAGATTCTCTTTGTAGCGTATTATTTTAATACACATAATAATAATGCGAAAGTAAATTAAAGGAATGTTTATGATTCCTTGTTTTTTTGAAAAAAAAAACTTAATTATTATTGATAAAGGTAACATGAAACATAACAACCAAAAGTTGAAACATTATAATCATAGCCTTCAATGCTACACTAGAACGAGACAAAGAACAAAAAGCTTTATACAAGCACTTCTGTTCACTAACTCTGCAACCATGTAGATCTGTACCGCAGTGTGACTGTTCATGCTACTTGAAATTGGTACAGTTTGACCAACCATAAAAAAGAATCATTAAACTTGCTGGTTTTTTAAGCATTCGATAAGGAGCCAAGTGCATAAATTGTTCCGATTTCACCAGCCATGGGAAAGTAAGCAATCATGCAATTTCATCTTCCTGAATTAGGGATGGTTCAGGAAGGGGGGGGGGGGGGGGTATCCACCACTATGATGTAGAAGAAGTCAAGATTCATGTTTGATAAAAAAACCGGTACAAACCTCTTACCACTACACAAGAACATCCGACTCATGATGTCAGGGAAGATACATCTGGCGAGCGACACTTTGACACTGAAAACAACATGTCTAGACAAGATAGGAAATAAACGTATATCTAGAACTGAAAATAGTGATCGAATGAAACCTTATGCATGATTGAAGCTAAAAGAAATTGAAAAAAGAGGAGAAAAGAATAAAAGAATAGGAGGAGGCCGGCTAGGGTTTCCCCATAGTTGCTCCAATGATTCCATCTATTTTAAAAGGAATATTTTAAGCAATTTGTGTGTGTACTATTAAAAGTTGCTAATACTTGGTAAAAAATAGTGATTTGTGTAATACTTCACACAAAAAGTGAAAATCACCTCAAAACACCCTTTCACATATTTTAGAGAATTTTTTCCATTTTCAGTCCCTCGACTATTGGGTTAGTGACGCTTTTGATACTCGACTTTCAATTTTTCTATTTTTATGCTTTAAGTTACACGTAGTACAAATATTTCCGGATTGATCTTTTACTTTTTTATTCTATAAATTTTTTGAAGTATTATAAATTCCTATTTTATATTTCATACATTTTAATTCAAAACCTACGAAATGAAAAATATAATACCATAAAAATAAACATTAAAATATTAAAAAAATCTTTAATAAAATATTGATGTAAAAACATATACTACGTATAAAGTATGAATATAAACTCTAAAGTTAAACTTAATTTTCATAATTACATTTTTTTAATTTTTAAATCTTTTCTTTTTTTTATTTTTAAATTTTTACAATTTGACACTTTTTAATAGTTTAGGGGGTGCAATGAAGGTGTTTAAGTTTATGTGAAAAGTAGGAAGAGCACACACTTCTCTCTAAAAATCTAGTGGTTGTCTCCCCCTTTGTAGGGATTGAGATTTTCCATCACCCTTATCAATGTGGGGCTGGAGCGGCAGATTATACTAATTTTAATTGTTTTAACGCTTGAGATTGCAACTACGTCGGAGGAGATAACGTTGGCGGATGAACAGATTGTGGCTGAGAGTTTGTATCGGTGTTGGATCGTAAAGCCGTGGTCAGTTGCTTCGACGGTGGTGGAGTTAGTATTCACCCATATTGCAAGAGCTCGTCCTCCTCCGGAACCACCTCCATATCTGGAAGGGTTTTGTGGAAAGCTTTTATTTCATTATTATTTTCTCTTTAGTAGTGCTTGTTTTTGTTTTATTACGAGTAGATGTGGTTTGAATGTTTGGATTTTTGGACTTCTTTTGAGAGATAGGGTTTAGATCCGTTCGTTTTAGGCTTAAATTTGCATGTTTCAGGTTTAGCGAGTCAGGTTGCTTTGTATGGGGTGGCTAACTCTATGCCTACTCCTAGGGTTCACGGTTGGATATGTAAAATATGTCTGAAGGTTGTCTTGCATGTGTTATCGATTTTAATATACAATCGCCTGTTTTATGATAATAAAAAAATAGTTTAGGGGTGATTTGATCAAATGTGACGGGTTTGGGGGCTTACCTGTAAAAAATAAAATTTGAATCATTTTTTGTCAGTTCAGGGTGCGAATTGGACTTTTATTTACTTCAGGCCTGTTTGGTTACACGATCTGTACAAGGGCCTATTTGACCATTTAGCTTTTTATTTTTCGAGAGAGACACTTTAATCTCAAATACATAAGAATATAGATCGAGCCTGTTTGGTAACCCCATTTTTCGGTTTATCGGGCTTCTCGGACAACTATTTCACCAAACACGTAACTTTTGATTGTTGGACGTTGAATTGTTGTAATAATATGAAAAGGCAAAGTTAGAGTTTTTTTCTAGCTGTATACATTGAAGTTACTGTAAAGGACCATTCTAGCTATTTTCATACAATTTTATCTTTATTTTATTAATAAAATATAATTTAAAGAATTTTTTCATTAAGTCAGCAGAATCAGTCAATCCAGCCAATACTGCCAAAAGTTAATAAATTAAGTTTTGAAGTGTTTTGAACTTGATAATTATATTCTCATTGCATCTTATAGATTGAAATGTATCTCTTTCTGAAAGGGGAAGAGTTAAGATCGATTTATTTTTTCTAAGAATTCGGGCTCTAGATTTGAATATTATCAAAAGAGGGCTTTTAGGTAATATTTCCCCATTGTCATCCTCCAATATTTTGGATTTTTTTTAGGAAATTAACCTAAATAGGACTTAAAACGTTTGTATATTTTAAAATATTACTATCATATTTTTATTACCTAAATTTGAGTCATTAATGTCATGTTTTGATAGTACCAAAATTTAGACATGACGGTATTTTTCAAATTTGGCAGTAATCACTTTTATTTATGTAATAAAAACACGACAATCTTATTTTAGAAGTATAAAACATTTTACTCTTATTTCGGAAATTTTGGTGGTGATTTGCGGTGGCAGTGCATTTGAATCGAGGTTGAAGAGAGAAAATATTAAATTTATTTAATTAAGTATTTAATGATTAGTCTCATTTTTTGGAAAAGACAAAACCACCCACATTTTCAAAAAAGATAAAACAACTCACATTATTTCTCAATTTATATTTAACATTCAGGTGTACAGGTACACCCGTTTTTTGTAATTCATAGCAAATTTGAGGGCAATTAATAGACTAAGTTGCTTCCTTTTTCCGCCGCATGCCGTACTCCACTCCTCATGCGCTCATCCTTGCTAGTTACTTTGTACGTTCTCATGCGCTCATCCTTGCTAGTTACTTTGTACGTTCTCATTTCTTTTCTTCTTTTTTTGTTTGTTATCATTTCTTTTCTTCTTTTTTTGTTTATTCACCTTTCTTTTTTGTTTTTTATCGTTTGATCTATTTTTTAGCAACCTTCTACTTTAATGTTAAATTTAATTATTATGAAAATGTATAATATAAAATATTATTAAATGTCTCAATTTATCTTTTTTCTTTCTCCAATCAAACCTACAATTTAAGTTTGTTTATTTATGTATTACGTAGTATAAAATATTTTACGTATTGATGTTTTATTTTTATATTTTTAATTTAAGATGAATATTTATTTGTTTATTAAATATTATGTTTTAATTACTAACATGAGTTTTGTGTTAAACTACAATGAGGATAATGTGACACAAATATGCATGGGTAAAACATAAAAAAACCGGTTATATTTGTAATTCGAGAACGAAATACTATAAATTATTTTTAAACTGTTTACCAATTTTTCATTATATGTACACAAATGAACATTTGAACACATTAGAATTCATACGAATTTTTGAATTTTTCGATGCTCATTTTGTAAGTTGATACTGATTTTATGCTTATTTTAAAATGTCATATAAATGCATATTTCAAAAGTATCATATTAAATTCGCATAAGAGTTAGATTATATACATGAGAGCAGAGATAATGATACTCAATTGCATGCTTTTGTACTTAACAGAGGTAAAATAATACTCCCTCCATCCCCTAATATTGGTACGTAAGGGAGTGGTGTGGTTTTTAAGAAAAATAGAATTATGTGGTTGGTAATGAGTTGATAAAGTGGAAATAAAGTAAGAATGAATTAGAGACACACAAATGTTACCAAATATGGTATGAGACAATAATAAAGGGACATCCAAAAATGAAAAAACGGGACAATTATAGAGGGACGGAGGGAGTATTACCTTAATAGAGATATTTTTCAATAATGCATTTATACTCAATTGCATGCTTCTGCACTACATTTCAAGTTTGATACTCAATTGCATATAATTAATGTCATGTTTTGGCGGTACCATAATTTAGACCTGTCAAATTTGCTAACCCCGCATCATGGTAGTATGATCTAACAACATCGCTGAAGTTGCTACTAAAATGGAAGATAACTAAACAAAAATTCTTTAAATTAAAATAACAAAACAAATCAAGCATCCCGGTTTTACCAGCCATCAGGAAGGAAGAAAAGGTGTGTTCATCCACCTCCAAAGGAAGCATTCCGATTTACCAGCAAACGGGAAGGGATAAGAGGTTTGGATAGCCACCTCCAAAGAAATCAGCTCGTTTACGGGACCTGTCTGTAGTTTAGGCGGTGTTGTTGCGGGAGCACCTCCTCGTCGTTTTTTGATCCATTGCAATCAACCTCTTTCATTGACATGTTTTCATAAGTCTAATTTAAACTCTCCATTAATGGCAAGCGAATGAATGTCGAGTCTGAGGCGGATTAAAAGAAGAAATACAATTCATGAACACAAGCTCAAACACGTTCACAATTGAAACGGACCAAACCCTCGATCAGAGAAAACTCAGTCAAACGAAACAAAAATGAGCATAATATCAGTCGAAAAGAAATCTCTAGCGATGAGAAAGCTTTAATTACCGTAGCACATGATTAGAGCCTTGCCGAGCTGCTGATGTGCCATCCACGAGGCAAGATCATGAAGGTGTGCTGATGCGCGACTGCTAGGGTTCGATCATCCAGCTATATGTTATTGAGTAGATAATTATTTATTAGTTAGTAATAATAAAAATGTTAATAACTTTTTTTTATATAGTTAGTAATTACTTATTACTTGTTTTTTTAAATAACAATAAAATTTATGACAATATAGGTCATAGACTGATAATTTCGATCATTTGAGTCTTATATCAAAACATTTCATCTTTCTTATCATGGATTCGTAGCTCATCTATCTTTTAGATTCTGAATTGAAAAAATTTCATTTAAATTATGTGATTTGATTAATTTGAATTGTTTAAGGTTTCCAATTAATTTAGTTATGAAATTGAGTTTTTAAAATAATGAACCAGTCCTATTAAATTTCTCAATTTTCAAGTTCAGTATTTATCTGTGACCCAATTTGAAAGAGACATAATTCAATTTATGAAAATGGCAATAAATAGTTAGAAATTTGTCCATGTACATGAGAAATAGATAGACACTTATTAAGAAGTCATTCAGATACATTTGACAAGAGTTGAATTTTCTTGCTACATATATATAAAGTAACTGGAAATCAAATCTCATTCGCATTTAAACACTTGAGTTATGGACAAGATATTGAATCCCTAATGCATTTTCATCCCCCTTTTATCTATAAATATGGGTCTCATTTGCGATAAATGGACCACAAACTTTTAGACGAAGAAACAATGCAAAAACGCTCTGAAAATTTCCGAGAAGCTCTGGAAAAAAATTCAAAAAGTAAATTTTCAAGAACATACAAATAAATCTAAGTTTTTCATAAAATATCAGACTTTCTGGAAATTTAATTTGAAGTTTTGCTCGACTATCTGTTTATAAGAAATCTTGTTTAATCCTTGCTATCCAAGTTACAAGATCAAGCTATATCTTCTAGAAATCTCTTTAATAGAAGGTCAAATCATAAAATATCCCTTTTATATTTTTCAAAAAAAAAACATCCCTTTTATTACAAACGAAGATACTTGAAAATTTGATGCCTTTAAAAAAGAATTCTATATTGAATAACGCTTGAAGATTCGAAGAATAAAACTTTAAAAATTTGAAGATCCAGAGAATGAAACTTTAAGGACTCAAATGTCCGCAATATGAAGATTTGAAGATTCAAAGATTTTAAGAATGAAAATTTGAAAATTTAAAGATCTCTAAAAAGTCGAAGATCTGAAAAACACTCGAATATCTGAAAAATTAAAGATTTAATTTTAAAATTTATTTCTTTTATTAAATTTCTCTTAATTACAAGTGAAAAACAAGATAATGATATATAGATCCCGTTTGATAATTATGTTTCTCGACTATCAGTTTTGCCAGTCAATTTTTTCATCAAACACGTAACTTTTGATCTTGCACGCTGAATGGTGTAATAATAAGAAAAAGTAAAATTGATGTTATTTTTATGACTATATTGATTGAAGTTAGGGTAGAGAGTCATTTGAACTATTTCTTCATAATTTTTTTTTTTGTATTTTATTAATAAACTATATTTTAGATATAAATTTTATATAAATGCAATTTAGTCAATTTAACTAGAATTTCATAAGTGCATTAGAATCAACCGATTAAACCGGTTTTGATATAATCAAACGGGTTCTTTTGAGGTTGAAACAAATATCCTTTAAATATTTGATTTACCATTCATTTTTTTTTCAGTGACTACGTGTGAATAAACTCAACTCAGCTCGCAGTAATTCAGTAAATACCTCGATTACCAGTGAAAAGAATAAAAACGAAGGGCCATAGGTAAATGGAAGAATAGTCTGCAAAACAAGAGGAAGGGCCACCTCTTTAACTCCCTCCTTCACTCCCCTCACGCTTTAAATTTGTTCTGACCGTTGCACTTCTCTCCCCCTCTTCAATAGCAGAGTTTGTGAATCAAAGTAGCTGACTCTTCTTCCTTCACTTGGGAGTTTCGCATTTTCAACACCAATAAGCAAGGTACCTTCTTGTTGCCCTTTTCTCATTCCTTACGAATCAGTAGTGTTTCATTTTCAGTATCACTCTGTCTTCTGTATGGTTTTGTTTGATGAAATTAACATACCCGTTTCTCCGTATGATTTGGGTTGTTGAAATTCTGCACCTTTCTTCTTATTGATTTTTATGTAGATTTATAGTTCTTAGAAAATACCGTTTGTTTTCAATTATCAGAAACACAAAATATTTCCGGGTTTAGGTGCTAAATGCTTGTTTGTAAGCTTACCAGATAATTTGGTGTTTCTTCTATCTAATACATGTATTACTTACGCATACTTTATTCATGTAGATTATATATCCATTTCGATTTTTGAATGTCCGCTGCTTCCTTCGTTTTTGGTTGCAGGACGTTTTATTGATAAGAATTCCATCTTTGGAAGCTTTGTAAGTATTTTCTATCCTCAATCCTAGTTCAAGCTTTCATCTTTGATAGCTAATAATAGTGTTTAATTAGATGCGGGATATTACCTTGAATCTTCTCTTATAGTTTAAACATTGGAAAATTTTGGAGTTTAAGGGAACCAAACTCCAATAACAAGCAAAAGAACGCCTGTTCTGTTTTTATAAGTGCATACTGTTGAATGATTTACTTTGGTAATTTGAATTTCCGGAATTCTTTTCATGTCTCAAGCAGCTACGAATTTGGTGAGTTCATGGAACTTATTTGAGCCCCCATAATTTATAGGTTGTGAAGAGTGGGAGAGGTAGAAAAAACAGTACAAAAATGGGATGTACTACATCCAAGGTGGATAGTCAAGAAGCCGTCCAGCTTTGTAAAAATAGGAAGATGTTCATTGAACAAGCAGTGGAATATAGATCACAGTTTGCTTCTGGTCACATTGCTTATATTGAGTCTATGTTGAGAGTCTCTTCTGCTCTTCGAGATTATGTTGATGGTGAAGGATATGATAAGTTCTTGGTTGATGCATTCACAACCCCAACTTTTACACCAGTCAACAAATTAAACTCGGGCTTCATCTCCATATCATCTAAATCCTTCAACTTGAAAGCATTGCAGTCTGGAAACAGTTCTGCTTTGAAAGTTAATTACTGCAAGTCAGGTGGGAGTCCATCTGTTACCGTGGAGGAGAAACCTCAATCACCTGAAACGCTCAGACTTAAGGCTTATTCCCCTGTCCATCAGTATGGAATGGATAGCTTCTTTGCCATGCAATCTGTACCGATTAGTTCTTCATTTTTTCATTCCTCTCCCAACAACAGGCCCAATTTCTCCTCATGTTCACCCCAAAGTACCCAGTGGGATTCGTTCTGGGATCCATTTTCTTCACTAGATTACTATGGTTATCCCGTGACAAGTAGTCTTGACCGGACCATTTTGGGTGGAGATATTGGGTTAAGCAATGTTCGAAAGGAAGAAGGCATCCCTGGTGTAGTAGAACATATTGGCTGTCTGGAAAATTCAAAAGAAAAGACTGAAGTCCTTAAAAGCTGCGATAAAGAAGTTGTGGTTGAAGATGTTAATGATCATGACAGTGAGTGTGATAAAATTGATTCCGGCCACATAGCCCAAGATTTGCAACCCAATGAGAATAATAATACACCAGTGTCAAGTACCCAGAATCATGGCCAACCCAGTTGCCAACAGACCACACTGGCTGATTGTGAAGCAAAGAAGCACATTCCAGAGTTTACCGTATATCTCAAAACAGAACCAACAACTATGGAAGAAGCTGTTAAGGATCTTGATGCACAGTTTAGAATTGCTTGTAATGCGGCTGAAGCGGTGTCAGTTATGTTGGAGGCTACCAAGGCTTGTGATTCATCAATTTCAAATGATCTAATATGTAAGTTTACTACTTTATACTTCTGATAATTGTTGCAGTTTTCTCTTTTATTTTGTGTTTGATCACTCGCTTGAGGTGCTTCATATTTGTGCAGTTTTTGTATGTAGAAAGTTAGAAACTAATGGACATGCGAACATACAACCTTCCTAAAGCCAATCATTCGGTGAAGAACATGATTATGATATATAGCTACCTTCTTTCATGACTTTTGACAGAAGCCACAGAACATAGTCAGATGGAATTAACACATTCAGTAGACGAGTTTTTGTTGTACATGCTTCTTTAAGAGATTAAACTAAGACAAGAGATATTCTGTCACTTCTGAATACCTCATGTAACATGATATGAATAGTTGTATATTACAACAAACTTTTATCCCACATCCCTAACTTTGGTGCCGGTCTATTATTAAGTTCTCTTTTTAGACTACAATTTACAGTTAATCATCATGTGTTACTAAGTTTACAACTTGAGGACCTTTAGCCTTGTCAATGAACGTTTCATTGAGACTTTTGAATTTCAATTACTATATTTACTTTTAATGTTCTTTTTCAGCAACAAACATGTTGAAACCAGTAGCCTTGGTGACTCCTGGACCTGCAAAATCATTTTCATCCAAAAATTTTATGAATCCATTAATTATAGATGGTGATAATAATGGAAGCAGTGGTGACTTCTCTGATGACTCCAGGTTTTGTCGTAGTCATCAGTCAACCTTGGACAGATTGCAGCTCTGGGAGAAGAAACTTTACGAGGAAGTCAGAGTATGATTACTGTATCCTCCTTTTTTAGTTTGTGTTTGAAAATGAATCATAAAAAGAACCTAAATTAAGAGTGTCATTTTTCAATTGATATCTCCTAGGGCAACGTTTCATTAAAAAGTCCATTGTGTTTTATTGTTTCCCAGCAATAACCTTAATTATTATTTTACAAAAGCATCACATAGTGATTGTTTCTCATTATAATTGGAATTCTGATTTTGACTTTTTGATCAAAAGTTTATTCAACATATTGTTTACCGAGTAATAGAGCTCTCTATATGCCATACATAATTTTGCGCTTACACATTTGTTCATATAAATGGCTTGAATTGATAAACATAAGTTGGTTTTTCAAGTACTTCCTATTTTTGTTTGAATGCTTATTGTTGAGGTATTGGCCGTTGGGTATAAGAAATAACAATATATAAGGTTCTGGGTTACTCTTACTCCCATAGTGGATTGCTATAAAACAATAAAACATTAAACATTATGTAAGGTTCTGAGCTACTCTCCATATTAGATTGATGTGAAATACCTTTTAGGGTGGAACTCAGATTAACCTTTCAGGATTTAACCCCAAGTTTGACTTTTTAGAATGGAACCCCAGTCTTAACACTTATTCATCCCAAATCTAATAGATGCAAGAGTGTAATGAACACTCGATATTGATGAGAAGAGGATAGCCGAATGATGAGAGTTCAGTAGCCTGGGAATGCGATTTGAATTGTATTATCTAATTTTTTTGTTTAATTTTGTAGTTAAAACCATGGCTTAAGAATTTAGTTCAGAAGACTTAACTGTGCTGCTTCAATATAGATTTGAAAGAGATATTCAACATTTGTAGTTCAACTAAATGAAGATGATAACTAGTTTCAGTTCTGATACTTTTCTGTGTAACCAATCAGGCAGCAGAACGTACACGGCTTGCATATGAAAAGAAGTGTGCACAACTCAAAAATCAAGAAGAGAACAATGCTGGTCTTCCTTTAATTAATAAAACAAGAGCAGCTATTGGGGTTTTGTTTGCTCAGATTAAAGTTTCTATGCATACTGTTGAAACTATTTCGGAAAGGATTGAGACTTTAAGGGATGAAGAACTTCAGCCTCAGCTATTACAATTGATGCAAGGGTAAGTAAATAAATGAGGATAGGAACTCACATATAATACTTTAGACCAGTCTTCATATAAGGTTGACATTTTAAGACAAAACTCAAGTGTTAATACGGCTGCTAAATTGGTAGCAATCATCTTGCTGGGTATTGATAAGTCATTCTACACCAGTTAAATATAAAAATACAAATTCACATAAAAAGGTTAGAGCTACTTCTCCTACAATGCTGACCTTTAGATTACAACTATTTCAAGATTGGACTGCTCTAACGAGCAATAGCCCATTACACTTAAGCAAGAAGTTGATGCGGCTAAGACTAAAAAAAAGAACACGCATATTTCAAAACTTGTCTGCTCAGACGAGCCGCAATCTTGCAGGGTATGATATGTCATTTCACACCGGTGAGATGTACTCCGTAGTAAATATATAAACACATTTAAAAGGCTTTGAATTGCTTTTCCTTCAAAAAATATCATTTAGGATTAGATCTAAAGTCAATAATTAGTACACTATAGAAGGTTTATCTCTATGCTTCCTCTTGGTCAAGTGGAACAATGTCTGAAATCTCTGTTATCCAATGCATGTATCAGATTTTTCAATCTTTAATTAGTTGTACCATTTTTACACAGTTTTTGTTTAAAAGAGGAAACTGATTTAAATTCCACAAACTTTTGAGGGGTGTGAGGTAAGCATCACAAACTTGCATATCTAATATAAGTACGCAAGTACCTCAAATTTATATAAAATTTTATCTTCGCACCATGATCATACATTTTTTCTTTCACAAATGTAAAATTATAGTTCTGAGTATATAATTTAAATATTTTCTAAGCATTTTTAGTGTATAATTAACATTATAAACTTATTTGCTAATGTTTTGTATTTCAAATATTGAATCTTAGATTAATAATTTCATTCTTATAAATGACAAAAGTATTTTAAATTTTAACACTAAGTTTACATTTGATAAAGAAAAGTACATTATGATGGTGCTAAGATAAGTTTTTATATAAACTTCGGGGTAATTTTATTACATATGCAAATTTAATTTGGGGTGCCTATCTCACAACCCTTAAAAGTTTGAGGTATTTAAATTATTTTCATTTTCCCCTTATTTAAAATATGTGGAATAAAAAGTTAAGGGAACAGTCTACTGGTGGAGTTTTTGTTGCTATTAACGTAGAAATAACACTCATGAAACAGGTTAGGTAAAATGTGGAAGGTGATGACAGATAGCCATCAATTGCAGAAATGTACAATAGATGCAGCTAAAATAAAGCTCCATGGTTCTATCACACCATCACAAGAATCTTTAGTCAAGAATTATACTAAAGGGTCACCACCTTCTGAACCACACAAGCTGCACCGTTTAGTGGCTAACCTTGAGGCTGAGCTAAGAAACTGGCGTGCCTGCTTCGAGACATGGATTGTTTCTCAACGCTCATACTTGCACGCGCTAACAGGGTGGCTCTTATGTTGTTTGAATGCAAATCCCATAACACAAAAGCAACAATTTTATTCTCCTGGTTGCTCTGTGGGAGCTCTAACAATACTCAACATTTGTGTCCAATGGTCAAAGCTTCTTGACTCTGTCAACGAAGTCCCGGTACTCATTGGATTGGACTTCTTAATCTCAGGCATTGTTTCTCTATATCCGCAACATCTGGGTAGAAGAGATACTAATAGTAGGGTGGTTGAAGCTGGGAAACCTTGTGAGGAGGAGGAGGAGGCCGCAGAAAAGATGGTTGATGCTGCCAATGATGTGGTTTGTTCAGGGATGTCTGTATCAGTCGGCGCACTAACAGATTTTGCAACTATTGTAGCACAAGGATATGCTGACCTGCTCACGAATTGGGAGGTAAAATATGAATGTGATGAAAAGCACAACTACTAAGGGATTGTAACTCATTGTGGGGTTATCTATTTTATTTATTGTTTGGATAGTTAGCATTGAATTGGTTGAATGGGAATTGTGCATCCTAGTACTAGATAGAGAATATCCTCATTACTTGGTGATCAATTTTTTGTTTTTGAAGAATGCACAAAGCGATGTGGTATTAAGTATTGTACTATACTGATGGCGTTTTGCTAAGAAAAGATCGCATAAATGAGTAGTTTGTAACCGTGTATATTAGTAATAATGAAATGCAATAAATAAATAAATATTAGTACTTGTAAATAATCGAATACAGTAGACATTTGTAGATTAGATGTCATTTATATACATGTGGAGATAATTTTAGTTTTACTATGGTACCTAAGATTTGTTTATTAATTTTCAAAAAAATTATATTAATCTGAATTGCTCAACCTAGTATCCATTTGACTAGCAAAAGTTGTGAGACCTTCAAGAGGTTAAAATATTGGCAAAGACCTTAGGCAATGCATGGTTCAATTTAACTTGTTTTTGGACGCTTGAAGTGCTATTAGATTGAATGATATGCCCCTATGGTTTTCTTGGGAGAAGCCACGTGGAACATCCATTTGATGGACATTTTCACTCACCCTCTCAAATGAGAACAAGTACCAAAATATACGTTTGGCCCATTGATGAGATCCTTATTTCTTATCTTGTTGTAACTTGTAGCAATTAAAAGCCTTATAAGATTTGACATAGGTATGGTACTATACTAAAAAACAGTTATTAATGTAAATAGTTGATCTCTTTATAGCTTCTTGAATTAGAGCTACCGCCTATAAATTCTCATTTCATTGTAAAATAAAATATTGCCTCTTCTTTTAAACCGTTTCTAACTACAATGTCATTATTCTAACAAAATCGGCATCCTCGCAATAATCGAAAAGAGTCTTCATCCATTTGAAAGGTCGTGTTTACGAAATCTATTTCAATAAGTTATTTCTTGGCAACATATATAAAAAGTGTTATGTTAGTTCTTATGCACCTGAAGGTATTACTTTTAAGCTTGTAGTACCCATTGACTTTATAAGGTAGGTGAACGGTACATGCTCCTATTTACACCTTTGTAAGCATATGCAAGGCTAGTCTTCATTTTTATGAGATTAAACATTTTACAATGTAGGTGAACGGGATATCGAAAAGCTAGATTAATTCATAATAATGGTTCCAACTTGTGGACTTCCAGACTTCGATCGCTTTATATCATTGTCTTTCGTTTAACAGGACTTCCAAATTAATTCATAAACATTTTCCAAACTTCGATCACTTTATATCATTGTCTTTAGTTTAACAGGAATGAAATGAGGTGAGTTCTGCATCAAAAGTGAGCAATGTGATCTCAAAACTGTATTTTATAAAATAAAAATTGTTTATTTCACAAATATTTTGATCTGTTTTTTTGAATTGCTCGTAGATGTTTAGTATCTTGTATTAAAATCATGAAAATAAGTATCTCAAATATAGACTCAGTATATCGACGCAACCTCCCAGATTTTCAGCATAACTCAAAAGTCTCATCATCCATAACTAGATGTAGAAGCGATTGCCCTGCAAAGAGCAAATCAAACCACTAAGCAAATGATATTCTTCAAGATTAAATCGGCCCTATGAACCTTATTGCTTCTAATCAGTAAAGACTTACTCACAACAAAAACAAAACTCACCAAAAAGACACAAGTCTCAAAGTAAAAAATAAAGTGAAATGGTATAATGTTATAGTTGAAACATGATACTAGAAATTAACCTCCATTGATCTTATTATTTCTTCATGGAGACCGAGTTTCCTGAGCTACCTTGATCTGAACTTGCCACCGTTATATTTTTGGATCCCCATTTGTAGCTCTATTTTGGTGCTACAATCAAATCCTTCCTCATTCTCCTCATCATCTTCTAGTTTATCTTCATCACTTTAGGACCCCCCAACACATCTGCAACTCTATGTTGGTGCTTCAACCAGCCCCTTCCTCCTCACCTCCTCCTCAATTCTTTGTCGTTTTAGTTCATATTCTTTACCCATACATAACTATAAATATTAATATTCATGATTCCTATCAATTTGACTCCATAGATTTTTTTTGGATAGAATGAATTAGAAAACTTAATGTTCAAACTGTTACAACTTACAACTAATAACGAAGGAAAAAGGGGAAAGTAAGCCCACGTACTAACAAAAAAATGTCAAATAAGCCCTTATATAGGAGGCTATGTCCGGCCGTCGTCATTTGGGACGGTTCCCGGTGGAAATTTTTTATGCGGTTTTTAAGCATATTATTCATTAAGTCTAGTTTACTCATACCAAATTTCAGCTAAAACGTCAATCGGGAAGGCATTCAAATGAATTCTTGAAGATAACTGCGCAGTTAAAAGCGCAGTTATCTTCAAGAATTTATTTGAATGCCTTCCCAATTGAATTGTTAGCTTAAATTTGGTATGAGTAAACTAGATTTAATGATTAAGATTCTCAAACAAATTCATCAAAATATTCCACCGGGAACTGCCCTAAATAGCGACGGCCGGACATAGTCTCATATATAAGGGCTTATTTGACCTTGTTTTGTTAGTACCTGAACTTATTTGCCCCATTTTCCAATAAAGAATGAACATTATTAGAAACCATATCCTTTGTTTTGAGATCCACTTCATTCTCCATCACACTTCAAATTAAGATCAAGTTGGCCCAACCATTTCCATCATATTAGAAACCTTCTTTTTGTTTATTGTACTTCTATGCTTAACTTTATTCTTAATATTGTTATTTTTAAACTTTTGTGTATTTGATATTTTAATATTAAGAAATTGCACCTAAATTGGAGTGGAAAATAGTTTCATAACAAGAGGATTTTTTTCTAAATAAGTATAGGTAATCCTACTATATAAGTGTCCTATAATTTTTTAATATATGAAATGTTATACATATGTAAGTTATGTTTACTGAACCACGTTTTGCTTCTACTTTTTGTGAACGACATTTTGCTTCTACTTAAAAGATCTCTTTAATATCCAAATCACAATTCCACAATTCGTTTAGCCGGCGATCAGTTTGGGGTCAGTGATTTCCCAATCGCTCGGGTGTATACGACGAAGAATAGGCGACAAATCTTCATCGAAGCTGCAGTGTTCTGGCGCAGGACAGGTTGCGGAGCTTTGGTGTTGGTGATATTTAGTTGTCTTTCTTTTGATAGTTTTGGCTCGAGAATGGAGGCAAGTTTTGAGAAGAGTTCCGACAGTTTGGTTCGAGAGTGGCGTTTCCTCGGTGTCGAATGGGAAGAAATAGCAAAATTCGTGCTGTCCAGGACAAATGGTGAGGAAGAGGATGAAGTATGAGCGATTCGCCCCCCTCCTGAGCCGCCGCCATGGATGGAGGATTCAGAATAAGTGGATGCAAAAGAATTTCAACAGTTGAAGTTTTACTTTTCTTGCTTATTTCTTTTCAGTCTGAATTTGCTTGTTGTTGATGTCTTTATTTCGTCGTACAATAAGGGGGAAGGGTATGTGTGATGTTTTTGTTTGGCAGGTAGAATTTTTAGTTGTAGGCAATCAAGCCGATTCAGCAGCTAATAGTCTCTATGATCTCACTATTTCAGCGATTAGTCTCGTTCTTTTTGGGGTGCACTATTCTATGTTTGGTCATGACGGAAGAGTGCCATTGGGCTTTGGTAGTGTTTGGAGAGAGGGAGATTTAGGTTTGGGACGTGTTTGTTACTCTTGTTTGGTTGATTTTAGTGCATGTTTGGCGGGCATAAGTCTCCGTTTTCTAGCTTTTGTATAGTTAAAAAGTATCTAAAAGCTTCTAGTTATATGTTTGGCATGACAAATTTTAAGAGCTTTTCAAAAAATAAAAGATCTTTCTTGAGATGTTACAGGGAGTAGCATCTGAGAAAAGTCCGTAGCTTTTAGTATTAATTAGGGTATGTTTGGCACAACTACCTGAAAAGATACTTTTATGAGTTTTTTAGTAACTGTTAGCTTTTAGTGACCGAAAAGATCTTAAAAAGAAAAAGCAGTAGTTGTTTGGTAAAAAGTTGACTGTTTGATTTAGCTCTGTTTGGTATACAAGCTGTTAGGACTAATTATACTAAAAGTCACGGGCTTTTTTCAGATGCTACTCCCTGTAGCATTTCAAAAAGATCATTTAATTTTTGAAAAACTCTTAAAAATTGTCATGCCAAACATTTAAGACTTTTTGAACTCTTAAAAATTGTCATGCCAAACTTATGCTTGACAAACATAACCTTAGTCTTAACGACTTGTATACCAAACAGAACTAAATCTAACAGTCAGCTTTTTACCAAACAACTATCACAATTTTTCTTTTAAGATCTTTTCAGTCACTAAAAATTAATAGTTACTAAAAAATCATATAAAAGTATCTTTCAAACTAGTTGCGCGAAACATACTTTTTCTCAATAAATATTACGGAGTAAATTCAAATTCAATACGACCAAATTAAGAAAGGAATTGATATCGTGAATTTTGAGTAACATCGAGGGCTAATATGTCATTTCCAGTATTTAGGGTTTTTCAGGTCTTCTTCAAAATCTGGCGAGCAATGCATATGGCCGAATACTCTTTCTCACGCAGACAGGTTCAACATTGAGAAATTTATAAAATAAAATGGGAGTGTTTACATTCGTCTGCAGATCCTCCGGCAGCGAGTGGACAGCGAAGCAGCTTAAAGGCGACCTAGAAGCTTCCGCCGGATCTACATACGAGCTTCAGCGCAAGCTTGTTCGGACTGCTCTAGCAGAAGACAGCTCCGGCGGCGTCCAGTCATCTTTCTCCCACGTCTGCCCTAACTCCGCCGTTTTCCAGGTTCGGTTAAATTGATATGCATATCATCTAAGTGTGCAAGTTTAGATGGTATATTAGATCTATTTTTAACTGTGACTTTATTGATATGGTTTGCGTTCTTCCTTTCCGATTTCTGAATATTTTCTGGTATTTCCGTGATGTGGCGTTGTTCTACACTTTCTTGATTAATATTATAAACGATAAGAATTTTAGGAATTGAATCAGGTGTATGTAAAATAGTTGATCAGAATGTCCTTAATGTGCTGAAAGCTTTCAAGTATTTATTCCTTCTTTGCATTATGGATTCAAAACTAACATTTTTGGATTGATTTGCGATTTTGTGTTCTGTTCATTTTTTATACTCCTATTAGGTTGATATTATACATTCATGAAACTTGACTTCTATTTTCGTAGGATACTTGTTTTACTAATGAAGAGTTATGGCGCCTTTATGAATCATTTTTTCCTGCAGAAATTCAGAATGTTTTTCTAGGATTTTGCCTTCATTAAACAGCTCTCATTGTATTTAGATTCATGACCCAATTTTGTAGTTTTGCTTATTTGATATTTTATTTAAATTTAATTTACAAAGACATGGCCTTTAACTGATATGGCTCTCTAGGTTTTCATTATTAATGCTCTAAAATTGCCATATTGTGTTGAAGCTAAAGTATTCTTTCGCTTTTTATTGCTCTAAATTTTGATTCATTTCTTTCAGGTGGTTATTGGTGGAGCTGTTGTGGCAGCAGGTTTTGGAGGTGGAGCATCTGCAGCCCCTGCTGGTGGTGCAGCCCCGGCTGAAGCAGCTCCTGCAGAAGCAAAGAAAGAAGAGAAAGAAGAGGAGAGTGATGATGACATGGGGTTCACACTCTTCGATTAGGCAATTGCGATTGTTCTAATCTGTTATTTTATCTATACGGTTTTTGAGAAAAACTGCTTTGGCATGAGTAGTTCACTAGATTTGAGACACATGTGCTATGGATTACTATTATGATTTGAAGTGTTTTCTTGGGATTCTTTTTTATGATTGGGGATTTTGAATGCTTTGTTTTGGTTGTCATTGCATTGGTGTGGTGTAAAGCAATGCATCCAGGCTCTTTTGTTAATCTTCATTTTCCTGTTGATAAAAAAATCAACAGCTGCTTGCAAAGGCATCCGGCCCTGCCAAGGCACTCTGCCATATGATGGAAGATCCTAATTGGGGTGTTTTAAGGGCAAGTGATGTGGCTATTCTACAAACAAGTTTTTGTACCTCTAGCTAGGGGTGGACCGGTTCGGGCCCGGCCGGGCCTCGGTTCATGAAAAAGGAGGCCTGGAGTTGGCCCGGGTAACCCCGGGTCCAGTCCGGGCCGAACCTTGGTTCATTTTTTTTTTGTTTTTTGGCTTTTCCTAATTAACCCCCAACCCTCTCCCCAAACCACCTCAAATGGTCCATCATACCAAGTCCAACCTAAAAACTAAAAAAAATTCAAAAAAATAAGTAAATAAATTGGCCCGGAACCGGCCCGAACTGGCCGGGCCGGTTCACTATTTAGCAGGCCCGGACTTGAACCCCCTATCTCACCGGGCCGGTTGGCCTAAACCGTGCACCAACCGATTCACCGGGCTGATCTGGGTCCGCACAATGTGGACTGGTCCGGTTCTGGGTTGGTTGGCCTGGCCTGAGTCCATTCCTACCTCTAGCACAACTCCACGGGCATAATACAAAGTGGTTCAACTTAATAATAGTTGAAATCTAATGTACGCGTATCAGACTGTTTGAACTTTGAAGCACCAGACCTGATAAACTCATATTGAACAGGACTGAGAGGGTCATTGCTTGTACAAAAATTATACGTAGTAGGTAGTACTAGTTAATTAGCGTTAGATTGTGCAAAATTAAATAAATAATAGTTTTAATCTACAAATCCATTAGACCCCCTATTTCACCCTTTTGGGATAGTATTGGATTCGGTTCGGGCCACCAGGCCCGTGACCCGGACCAGCCCACTACTGTGCGGGCCCGGGACCGGCCCGGGCGGGCGGTCCGGGACTGGCCCGGGCGGGCGGTCCGGGACCGGCCCGGGACCGGCCCGGTCGGGCGGTCCGGGACCGGCCCGGGACCGGCCCGGTCGGGCAGTCCGGGACCGGGTGTAGACCCGAACCGGCGGGGAGGGGCGGGGTGGGTACGGTTCCAGAACAAGTTGACCCGGCCCTGGGTCCGGATCCAACGGTTCAATTTTAAAAAAAAAATTGTTGGGCCCCAAACTAGCCGTTATGGCCTTGGGGGGTGGGCTGGGGACAACCCAAACGGCTATATAGCCGTTGGGTGGGGTGCAGGGGGGTCCGGGGGTGGGGAGGGGGGTAAAAAAACCTATAAATACTCCTAATCTTAAACATTTTTTCATCTCTTCTCCAATTCTTCCTAAATCCTATTCTTAACTCTCTACTCTCTAATTCTCTTATTCTCCAATATATTATATTTATTATTTATATATCTACTTTATAGTTTATACTTAAGAAGTTAAGATGGAAAATCAAGATGTCATTATACGGTATAATTTTGATAAGCAGAAGTACCCGAAGACCGGGATGTGGTACGCAACTTGCAAATGGTGCGAGAAAAAATGTAGCATGGGGGTTTCAGGCGGATACAGGATGACAATCAAGCATATGAAGTCATGTGACAAAGCCAAAGGATCGAGAGGTGCGGGAAGTTCCGATTGATTACAATTTTCAAAATGTTTGTCTCTTAAAGTTTGTTTTAATTTTTAAATGTAGTTCCTATTTCATTTCAAATAAATGCACTTGAAGTTTGTTTTTAATATTCGTATAAAACTATAAACTATAAAATATAAATTATATATAAAAAACTTTAACCGGCCCGGCCCGAACCGGACCCGACCCGTGACTCGGGCGGGTGGCCCGGCCCGAACCGGATCCGTCCAACCCTCGGGCCGGTCCCGGGCCCATGTCATACAAACCGGTGGCCCGACCGGGCCTAGGCCCGGACCGGGCCCGGCCCGAGTCCACGCCTAGAATTTGGGATGGTGTGACCCAAAATCGTACAAAAATATTTAGAAGGTGACTTGGACAATCGACTGATCACGAATGAATCCGGACTTGACTGGTCAATCCGGTCAATGTTGACTAAAATTTAGTTATAGATTTAGAAGCTATTCTCTTCGCCTGATCTGAATGTTTCTGATTTGAATTGTTTAGGTTCTGATGTGATCTACATTTTTCTGATCTGATCTCAATCTTTCTGATCTGATTTGAACATTTCTATAATTGTAATTATAATTATAATTATAATACACCATGTAGATGGGGATTGATCCGATTTTAATTCCCAAATCGAACTGGAACGGAGTCTAATAGGGTGAGGAACCATATGGTTGCCAAAGTGACTTTGATACAAAGTTCTCAACCGGAAACTTATCCAGAATTGATTCTGAAATCGGTTTAGCCAAAATAGCGCACCAGAGATGACCAGTCTGATTCCAATTTATTTTACTACTATAATAAAAGAAAGAGAAAATTACCCTAATAGGACTAAAAACGTCTGATTCCAATTTCTTTTACTCTTCTTTCGAGAATTTTTTCAAATAAAGAGAAATTACCTAAAAACGTTTATTTATTCTAAAATAGGACTATCATGTTTTTATTTCCAAAATAGGACTAATTAATGTAATGTTTTGGCATTACAGACTTTAAACATCACAGTATTTTCCAAACTTGGCAGTAATCACTTCAATTTTGAAATTTTCAAACTTTTTTACTCATATTTCAAGAATTTTTCCGAAAATGAATCGGGAATCAGGTTAGGAATGGAACGGGATCCCAGTTTTTATAGTTGAAGTACCGATCCTATCTACCCCTAACTAGGGATGGACTCGGGCCGGGTGGCCCGACCCAGAACCGGCCCGGGACCGGTACTGTTCCGGCCCAGCCCGACCCGGTGGCCCGGTCAGTGACCGGTCCGGGTAGGCCCGGTCCGTGGGTTTTCCGGTCCGGATTCGGGTCACCCAAAACAAGGCCCGACCCGGCCGGTCCCGGGTCCACCATATCTGACCCGCTGGCCCGCCCGGGCCTAGGCCCGGACCCGGACCGGACCCGAGTCCATCCCTACCCCTAACCAGAACTAGCTGATCCAAGAAAGGATCATCCCTATTTGGCTATTTGTGGATGCTGAAGAACATTGTGGTTCACGTGTAGGTAATGAAGAACATGTTTAATTTGTAGCCAAAAACATTAATCCTTATGCATTAATTCTTTGTTTTCTAGTCTTGAAAATCGACATTTAGGTTAAACAATAATATGAAATTAATTACAGATATTCAGTGGTTTTAGGCATGTATTTGCATTTTGTTTGGTTTCTATTGTTATTATTTTTCTCTTTTCTTTTTGCAATTGTAATGCTTTTTAATCATATGACATACTTCATTGCGAGAAAAACCCAAACCAAACCAAAGCAAAAAGGTATCCACCAAACCTTGTTTCAAGATAAAAGGGACAAATCTGAACTTTTTATTTAACTTTTCGTAATTCGTTTTGAATATAAAAATAAATTTCGTAAAAGGGAAAAAGCTGAACTTTCGTAACCCCATCAAGAGTTCAAGACGATCAGACACCAAGACTGCAACAGCAAGTAAAAAACCACGTGAAACAGTTCGGGGAAAAGTAACCCACCCAGAGTCCAAAATACGAGCGACCCACCACAGATTTCCTCCCAAACAAAAGACATTAATGGATGCCCGAATGTTAGCTATGATACCTGATACCTAAGAGAATGATGCACTACATCAGTCCCTCTCAGTCAATTAATACACCACATGCTATGTAAAATAAAATGAGGCGTATAATATATATCTTCCTTAGTAATTATGTATAATGATGGATAGTGTACCCAGGGGTAGCTTATCCGAGGGGTTATTACGAGGAATAACTAGAGAGAAGTCAGAGCAAGTAAGTAGAGAGAGAGTATATTAGAAAATGTGTTCAGCGTTTTCAGCGTGGTTTACAACGGGGAAGTGGGGTGCTATTTATAGTAGTAATAAATGCCAGACAGGGACACGTGTCAAGCACCCATTGGCCGAGGGGTCACCTCAACTGGTTGGCGCTGGCAACCGCATGTGGCCGCATTTAATGCGGCTGTTGGATGTGACGTCGTACTGGGTACAGTGATCTATACGCATGTGGAGCGGATATTATGTCGGAAAAGGTGCCCTCGGCTGTAGGTGATTAGCCGAGGGCTCTGAGTACCGGGGACCTCCTTAGTGCCGAGGGCTCTAGGTGCCGAGGGCTACTGGTTTTCGCCGTTTTCTCCCAGTAACTTTGTTTTCCTGTTTTGACCCTCCTGTGAGAATCAGAGCCTTCGGCCAGGGGGCCGAAGGCACTCCTAACGCTCACTGTGGGCCGCTTGGTACTCTGGGCGCCGTGATTTGGGTCTGTTGTGCTTCCTGGGCCTATTGAGCCTTTATTGGAGTAGTAGGAGTCTGTGGACCGGGGGTTCCCGGGCCATATACTCCATCAGGAGTCCCTCACTCCTTTTGCCGAAAGGTACTTGAGGGAAAAGGAGTAATTGTGTTTGTCCTCTGCCGTTGTTCCGTTGTAGTTTGTAGAGTTGTGGGTAGTTTGCTGTCTGTTTATTCTGCCGAGGGTAGTCCCTCAGTTACCCACATGTCGGGACTTGAGGGGTCATGTTTGTGATTTTTGTGATTTTTCCCGAGGGGGTTCTCCAGTCCCCCACTCCTTGAGGCACTTGCAAAGTGGTGAAAAGGAGTAGAGTAATCATGTTGCTGTATTGGGCCGAAGGCTGACTCTTTTCGTTTCATTTTGGGGGGATGCCTCGTTAAAAACCTCATTAGGAAAAACCCCGTGGGAAAAAATCCTAATGAGGGAAAAAGAGTGCACCGAATTCCCCCAACGATGAATCGAAAACGTGAAGACCTGGTTTGAAATGGAGTACAATGCTGAAGCCGAAGGCTATCTTTGTTCTGAGGGCGCGTGTGTTGATTAACCGGAGGCTTGCTGTTGATATTCTTGGAGGTGCCGAAGGGGAGTCCCTCAATCTGGGGATCGAGGGCGTGATGAATGTGAGTAGTAGTTGAAGTGTTACCGGGGGTGTCACCTGTTTGTTGATCAGTTGGTGAGGAGGGTATCCGGGGGTTCCTGTTATCTGTGTGCTGCAGGCTATCCGTCAATGTGGTGTACTCCCCGGGGGCTACCCGGCCCTCAAAGTGCTGATGGGGGATCCCCGAGGGGTGTGCCTGTTATGAAGC